GATCGATTCTGATTTTTTTTGACAAATGCTGTTGAAGGTGTGCCATGTGGTGGAATCGGTTCCGGTGCAATGGGACGTGATTTTCGAGGTGGTTTTTGCAAATTCAGTTTGCGACCCGGCCTTGTAGAACACAAAGTGGACGTCATTCCTGTGAGTGGATTTGCAGCTTTGTAGTTTCTGTTTTCTTAGTTGTCAAAATTTGTTTGTTTATTTCATGTTTATTTAGTTATGAATTACTTAAATCTTCTTTCAACGACAAGTTGATTGTAGTTTAACTGCAGTTTGTGGTGTTTTACCTCATTTGTTATCACCAATGGGTTGAGAAAGGGTCACGATGTCTGGCCGGGGACAATAAATGAAAGCTAAAGAATGTCAACTGAGTTTTTTGAAGTAAAGTTTTTCTTATTTGGCACGACCTGAAAGATAAGGACACCTGTTTATTTCTTGCATTCTTATCTTCTTTTTGCGGCAAAAGGTGCCATAGATGATCCCGTGATCAAAATTCTGGTTGTCAGGGTTCTGGAACCTGTCTCGAAGGTATGGAGAAGTCGTTTGATTGTTGTCGAGGGTTGGTGAATGTAGTAAAGGAGATTTCTTGAGCAGGGTAATCCTCGAGGTTGTTTTGTCGGAGAGACCAGTTTATGCAAGTTTGTCATGAATTTTGGCTTTGACATGGCTGGAATCGGTGGTGTAAAATTTTTCTGCATCTAGGCCTAACCATCAAACTCATCCGGGTACAGGTTTACCGGTTCAGTTCCAGGTCGGTAGGCTAACCTACTATTTATGATTTTATGCTGACGCTACTATGCACATCTCGTCTTTTTGGTGCCAATTGCGTAAAAATTCCGGTAAAGCCTACAAGTACATATATGTACGCTCAGCTCCGTTTATCCTCTTGATAGTTTCTGCAAGCGGGTTCTTGAATTACTTGGTTTTCGGTAATGCAGTGTTCAGAGAGATTGATTATCGCACTTCCGTAATTTGACTCACCTTGGGCCTTTCAACCGTTTCTCTGATCGAGAACCAGATTTGACTAAAAGTAGAGTCGCTAGAACGAACCACTTGTTTTTGTCATTGCTCAGGGCAGATCTTTATTGATTCAAATACATCTGCGATTATGAGTGATGGTTGAATGAAACGCGGATAATTAGGGATGATTTATCATTTTCTTCCTGGAATTGATGTTTAAGTGGGTATCTACGGTTAGTACATAAACGAATACAAGGACAAGTATTGGTCGGGTTTTCTGATGCAGTTTTGTGGGGTGGGGATCATTTACGCGTGTATAAATTCATATTCGTTTTTGTGGTATTTCTTTTATCTTTATGCCATTTTCTTTAATTGCGTTTTTTGAGCACAGAAAATGAATGAATATTCCTTTTTCAGGCCAACCAGTTCATCTTGTCTGTACGCCGTGACAATCGCTGCATATATCAGAAAGTGCTGTCTGCAGCTGATATAGTTCTCTCAGGACAACAACTAAGTGCATGGGACTTCTCGTTTCCGAAAAAGGATGTCCATTACAGGTCAGTCGTAGATGTGAGCTTCAGTGATTATGGATTCTGCTGGTTTTTCCAAGCGCTTTTTAAGAATACTCCGTTTGTCTAGAAAATTGGCATTTTTTATCAATAACAACAATTATTATTAGTATGACAAGTACTCGTGTAAGGCGGTAAAATATGACACAACAAATATGACCATTATTATGACAACATGGCGCATGACAACCTAAGCTAGGATTATTCACACAATAACAATACCCGGGTTAGTAGAGTTGCTAAAGCAGCATTTTAGGACAAAAACAAAACAGTAGTAAGAGAAATTCAAGAACCTGTAATACAAAAAGTATTTGTGAATATTTAGGCGTTAGTGATGCTTTGATGTTTCTGTACCACAGCGCTAATAAGCTTTGTCATTTTTTCCAAATTAGTATGTCCATCAGTTTCTACGGCTGATGCCGTATCGTCGATGTTATTTTCGGCCATCATTTTCACTAACTGCTCCGTCAATCGTTTTTCCAATTCACTTTGACGATTCGTCTCCAAAAGTTTCTTAAGGCGTTCGTGTTCCTTCTTGTTACTTTCTAGATTCTGTTGTTGCCATTTAATAGGAACTTGAGGCTCCGGTAGGTTCATCTGTGACTGACGCGCAACAGCATAAGCATTTGCAACGACAAATGCCTCCTTCGTAAGGTCTTCAGGGCAGCTGTCCCAGTATTCACCTCGTAGCACTTTCTTGTGTTCTTCGAACAGTTCAGCAGAAGACACGTAGGCGAATCGGCTGAAAGAAGTTACATTACTATTGTGGTCTCTAAGTGAGCATTAATGGGAGGTCAAATGGAGGGAAATGTTGTGAAGGTCAATTGCAATTTAAACTGGTATTGTCAATAGAAAGGAGCGTCTAAATTATACGCCGCCACTACCGTTTTTAGGAGTATGGAAGAACTATTTTCGATACCTACCTTGGCCAAGGTCCTTTCTCTTCATATTCAAGCCGCTCGGCCAGTTCTCTTTTGTTGTATTCGTGATCACTTTCCCATTTCCATGGATTTTTACCATAGGATAAAGTTACGCGTTCTTCCTCTTCCCCAAAGAGGATGTCTTCTAGAAATATTATTATTAATAAGGGATGTTGTTGATATAACTGGTAGTATTGACTGAGGAATTCTTGAATGCTCACGATTTCTTCGCCATCCAGTTGAACTACGCAAAGCTTCCTCGTAATAGCATAGTTCTAGGTTTTCTACAGCAATTTTTCCCTTGGAAATAGGTTGTTCCATAAAACTAGGTCTTGTACGGTGTTTCTCAAGCTCCAGTTGACGTGCTTGTGCAGCGCGATAGGTGACCTGTACGAAATAGGATCTTATCGAACGTCCCCGTAAAACCTTAACTGTATGAGAGGTTGTTTGAAATTAAGCGATTATGACCAATACACGTTGATTGATATTACCTCCATCACTATTTCTCGGGCCAAAAAGTCCAATATGTATATGAGATCTGTTTGCAAATCAGGAAATCCGAGAAATTCGTGAAAGCGGTGAGCACGGAATGCAGATCTGAAATGCTGAATGTGCTTGATTTTTTTGCTTCATGAAACCAACTAATGAACTCACAGTCTCCCCGTTCGGCTACAGTATGAAACACGTCTTGCGTAATCGAGGAGTTCTTTGTGTTCAGTGGATAGGTGCCGGTTTCGCTTCTTGAGAAAAAGTTTGATTTTAGCGAGAGCTGGATCACAGTCCTGTATTCGGCGCTCTTCGCATAGAAATTCCAGTTGGTCTTCAAAGCCGGCTTCAATGAGAGCATGATAGATGTGTGGGGCTCTGAATGGTTGAGAATTAGGTGTGGACCAATGGTTCAAACACTTGTAATTCCTTTTACCCTTCGCTTCTTTTAGTCGTTTATGATTGGAATTTTTGGTCCTTTTCTTTAAATTTATTATGAAATAGTGAAGTAGATCAGCGGAAAATATTATAAATTTCTTGTTTTGATTACAGTTACGTATTAAAATGGTGTTGATATCAACAAATTCTTAATGGAGTTGATATATATTGAAAAGGCGAAACAACCCCATTCGATTTTCTCACCGTTTCTTCAGGCATAGCACCTCTGTGGACCCTTTTGCGTTAATATCCATTCGGTTTTCGAAGTAATTTTGACCACGTCGCCGACCTTGATCAACCCATTACGCGATAGAGCATGTGGCGTTTTCGATTCTGTTCTGAACAAAGGCTAAATATTCATTTACAATTTTACTTAGTTCGCAGTATTCTCTATGATCTGTTCTCCTTAAGTAGGTACATAGTGTCCGGCAGTTATTCCCAATAGATTTCAATGTTTCAGAGAACCAGGGTGGTCATATGGTGCACTGATTGAAGGGATAACAAGCGAAGCAAGTTACAAGTAATTAATTGAAGATAGTAATTCGGTTACTACCGTAGTAGGGCAAGACGCCTCGTATAACGTAGGAGTATCCAGCCCTTTACATAGTTTTTCCCAAGGTATCTTGTGCGACTAAAATTCGATATTTGGTGAACATATATTTATGGGGAAACTGAGTAGACAGTGCTTATGGTTAAAAGAAAAGCATACCACCAGATATCGAACAAGTCTTCTTAAGCGAATAGGGTGATTTTTGTAGAGCCCAAAGACGTTGACGTAGGTGAAGACTTTTCTGAAAATAAGTGTGATTGTATTCAAAGACGGTTTATTTCTTTGAGACTGTAAGAAAAGAAATGACGATGAAGATAAATTACCTCTGATGGATTTTGCATCATTAACTGCCATATTCGTCGCAAGAGCATATTCATTTGTTGCCGAACAATATCCAGCATAAATAGCCTGGTTTCATCAAGTGCTTCAGGGCCGTCACCATAAGCGAACATCATATGACCAGTAACATTTACAAATTCTCCCATGTTGAATTCTTCATATTCACCGTGACCTGTGAAATATTTCTTTCAAATGGTACCATCAGTTTTTATTTAAAAGCTTTTCTGCTTCTACCCCAATAAGGAACTGTTATTACCTATACGGTTGTCCAAAAAACACAGACGAATCGGCTTAATTTTCCTCACGATGTTCCATGGAATCATTTCCGCCCGCTCTTTCTTGTCCGGAAACCATAAGGCTAGATAGCGGGTGGTGAGCTGTATGCCATTTCGAATCACCTTTCCGTCCTGAAATGAAATTTTCGTGAGAATAGTAAAATGAGTTGCGATTTATAGTGCTTCACTTCTGGATCTCCATCTTCAAATTCGCCTTCGTCTTTTCGCTGATCGAGCGTACTGCTGTCGTTGTCCTCTTCACTGAGAAGATTTGGATAAAGGCGTTGAAAAGCGTTCGCACATCCGTTTCCGAAGATCATCAACTTCAGCTTGACGGTCGTAATTGGCCACTTCGTTAATGCTCATGTCCTCAAGTCGTGCAGTCTCATGAGCGAGCTGATCGGCAATACTGACATATTTGGCTTGAGCATGGTGTTCGCTGTCTCCATCCTCAGGAGATGGTGGAGGTGGTGGAGGAGTTGGTCCGATCTCCTTTGTCCTAGTTGGACCTTTTTGCTCGAATGGTGGACCTTTCGGTCGCGGCTCTTCCTCAGTAACTTTAGGAGTACTTCGAACGACCGATACTGACTCGAAATCAACACTTGTTTCGTACTCCGTTTGGCTTGATGAAGGCGATGATACGGACGAATTTTCAAGCGTAATCGGAGATTCAGAAGAGAAGCCTTCCTCACTTCCCTGAACAGAGAATGGTGGCGGTTGAAGTTCAGGAACATTTAGTGGGACTTGCTCAGGCATTCCAGTGTGAGACTGCGGTTCGTAGACGTTTATGCTCCAGGGTTCTTGATAAGGGAGTTGTTGAGGTAGACGATCAGTCGAAGGAAACTGAGGCATAAATGAGGGTTGTCCCACTGGGAAAAACTGCTGATGAAGCTGGTGAATCGGAGGTCCTTGATATATCGGTGGTGGTGCGTTGTAGAACATCGGCGGATCTGGAGCGGGTCGCATCGGCACTTGAGCGTTCTGTCCCACAACCATTTGCTGTGGAACATGCTGCGGAGGATACTGACCTGATGTAGAGGGAAGCATCGATGGTAGATAAGAAGTCCCGGCTACTTGACTAGGATGGTACAAGTTTTCAGCATAGTCCATCGGCATCTGGTGTTCTGGATACTGCGGAATGTTCTGAATGGGATCCTGGACGTGGCTGAGTCGAGAAGGCTCCAAATAGTGGGAGATCCGGGGTTGAAATTGCGATTGTATTGGGGCAGGACCATGTGACGGTCCAGCAGGTGGTTCACTGGGTATCTGAACGTCGACTTCACCTTCATCGTCATCATCTTCATCACTAGATTCCCGTTCAGCGCGCTGAAGCATTGCGAAAAGACGATCCACTATGGAAACACGACCATCAGAGTCGTCGGTGTCCAGCTGAGAAACTTCTTCACCATCATTTGACTTCCTCAATTCAGCATTGTCCGGTGAGTTGTACTCCTCTGAACTCGAGTAAAACGCCTCCATTATCCAGCTAACATCGTGATTCTTCGGACTTTCATAGCGTACATTTTCAGCATCCTTTCGCGATGCCCTTTTAGCTGGTTGTCCCACAACAAAAAGTACTTCCTGTGCGGTGAGATTTGAACCATCGCTCTTCTCTGACGGAGATCGAACGTACTGATTTTCACTCGAAAGTGGAGCAGAGATTGGTTGTATCGAGTCGGGGGTGCATTCAGGAGTGGAAAATCGAGCATCATCTGGAGGTGATTGAGTGTTCATAGTTGGTTCCGAATCTGGCCGTGCATTATCTGTAAGTGATCTGTTGTTCATCAAAGTTACTGGTTCGAATTGAGCATCATCTTGAGGTAGCGGAATGTTAAGCAATGGTTCAGGCTCAAAATGTTGTACAGGAGGTGACTGATTGCTAGCCAAAGGAGCACAAGCTAACGATCCATCGCCGGGAGGTAATGGAATGTCCAGCAAAGATTCCGGTACGAAAGATGTGTCGTCAGTAGGTAAAGGAATGCTCAATAGAGAGTCTGGCTCGTACTGAATATCGACAAGTGGAGACTGAGCGCTGATCACGGATTCTGTCTCAAAATGGGCATCACCAGGAATGTTCAGCAAAGGTTCTGGCTCCTGAGTGTCAGAAATGTATGAGAAATTTGATGGAACCGAAGCTGGCGCATTTAAGAGAAGATTTTCGGGAGCATCAAGACTTCCTTGGCCGTAGTGGGGAGAATCTTCCAAATATTTTGAAACTGGTGTAGTATTAGATTCCATGACACGTCGCGGATTATAAGTGTAGTTAAATGTGGAGGACTCGTCTACTTCATAAGAAATTTGGCCATAAGTGGAAGAATTGAGAAAGCTCGGTTGGCTGGGAGTGACTTCGATATAAGAACTTGGCTGAGGAATGTAATATGATGAAGATGGTCGACTCGAGTCGCATCTATCTACTGAGCTTTGTCGAGAAGTTCTTGTAGCGGGTGATGGAGAGCCTGGCATGGTGATCGTTTGAATGGCGACAGGCGCGAGAGTAACGTCAGAGACGCAGAGAGCTGCACTTTTGTTTTCACAGTGGGTGGGCGGGAAGACGGGAGGTCGTCAGCGCGTTAATGCTCGCCGCTCCCAGGCTAAGGACCATAATTCAGGGTCAGTTATTTGCAGTGGAAATTGTGTGCGAACATAAAAACTTCAGCAGAAGCACTGGCGCGTCACAGCTCTTGTAAAAACCAGATTTGCAATGGTATGCATCCACTAATTTGGGTGGGAGTCGTAAGCATGGCGTATCCTATAATGACTCATGAATGCCAATCTTTTCATTTTAATTTATTTTCTTATTAACTAGGTTCAACTTGTTAGTTCTCCAACGCTGTTTGATGATAAAAGATGCTTCGAATAGATTTAGCATTTGCTGCAAAACTTTTAACTGAATTTTTATGGCAACAAGCTTTATCGCAAGAGCCAGTGGTCTTTACTGGTTATTACTCACGACCCAATGAGTTGGACAGGAAGAGAGCGATGGGTGCGTATCATGTGTTCCGAGTAGGTCAGGTCACCTCTAAGTAAATCACATCTACTCTTATTCCACCTCTTATTCTCCAATTTTTTCCAGTCTAATTTCTTATTATTTTGCTTGTAGCAAGCGTGAGACTGCATAAAAGAACAGTAATATAATTCAACAAACGTTTGATTTAGTGATCAGTGGTCTGTTCCGGCACTTTTTTTTTTCAGAGGAACCTATTTGTTCCCTCAACCCCTAGAGGTTTTGCAATGAGCTAAGCCCACGCACTGATCAGTGCGTAACTCTGGTGACCTGACCTATCCACAAGAGACTTGGACTTTTCTCAGAACAATCTCATACCCAAAGGGGAAATAGTTCGCTCCATGTGAGTTGTTGAATTGTGAGAGTTGTTGTTCCGTCTCCTTCCCTGCTGTGCTTTATTTCCTTTTTGTTATGCTATGGAATCCTCTGGCTGAGCTATCCTCTAAAATCTGAATTGATTCTACGAAAATGGAAACTTTAGGCAGAGCCCAAAATCCATCACTTCGGCCGGAGACCTTTTCTTC